AGCTACACAGAAAACCCGAAATGAAACAGACCACGCAGCTTCAAGGATAAAGCCATTATTTTCAGCAATACCCACAGCCACATATTCAAGTCTGTTTAATCTGTTAATCAAATCAATCAGTTAGGCACGACTGAATGTCAATGTCAACATTTTGGAAACATCTGACAGACAATCTGATAAGATTACATACACTCAGATAAAGTTGTGAACAAAATAGTAGCAACACCTTGCTTAGAAAAAAAAAATCTTTGAAAACGTGGGGGTTCGTAGAATAGAAAGCTATGTCTAACAGTGGTGATGTGTCATTCACTGACGAGTCAAAACCTGCTGGTAAAAAGTAGGTAATTCCTACAATTTATAACATTAAACATAACTGATTAAAACAGACAGCTGTTGATGAGACATCCACAGTTTGCTTCTGCTTTCAGGATTAGCTCTGTAGACAGAGGGCAGTGCTTCCAGTAAAAAGCTTCTTTCTTTTTTTCTTAAACAAGGTTGGGGGTTGCTCTTAGTTTTAAAATCCAGGCCGAATATAGTGTGATTTCCTCACATGTTTTGTTATGCATGCAACAAAATAGAATTTCATCCAACTGTGCTGTAGTGCCAGCATTTTTGAGATGGACTGAACAGCAAGTGCATTCATTTTTACTGGTCTTGCCTCAAAGGCAACTTTCTAGTAATGAAAACCAGTACTATTTTTTTTACGTAAGCAAACACTGCAAATGGGCTTTTCATAAAGAAATAAATCCTGTACATGAATATATTTTGACTAATTCCATGGATGAACTACTATGTCGTATCAGTAAAAGTCAGTAACTAAAGCTGAATAATATACTCTTTAACTGTTAACTTATGTAAGAGTGATACTGACAAAGCTATATGATACCCATTTTCTCAGAATTATATTTAGTAGACTGCTGTGAGAAATCTATAAAAGACACATGCATGTGCTTAAAAAACGAGAGAGAAAAAGACAGTGCTGAGTTTTGATTTTGTAGTGGATTTGAATCTGGGTGGAACTGGGTGGTAGTCCTTTACATATGGATCTTACTTTCTAAAGTGACTTTTCTTTTAATCTTCATGCTAAACCTGGGGTAGATTTTATAAGCCTAAAAATTGAGCCTTGCTGTGGTGCAGAAACCTAGTTTCCTCTCAGACCAGTCGAATGAATTGCAATTTGCTGAAAGGTTAATGTGGATTTTTATCCATTTGTGCCAGAAAATGTTGCTAGCATCAGCTTCAGATCAACAAAAACAAACAGTACATTTTAACATAGTATTGTTACTTAAAATGAATTACAAGGCGCTTAAATCTAACCCATTACAATTTACATGTACCAGCTGAACCAGTTGCTAAGTCTAGGTTTCAGTTTGCTTTCGTCTACGAGGTACGACTGCCCATCTTAAGTATAAGCATTCAAAGCGATAGGCTGGTCTGTGCAAGACATACGACTGTTTTAATAATATAGTCATTCCACATTTAACAAGCTGAGGTTGTATTGTCTGAAGTTAACTCAGCGTCACGCCTAACTACATCCAGAGCGCAGGGCACAGCCGAAAATTTCAACACCCACCCAACACCTAAAATATCAGCTTAAAAAGACAAATGAACGTTATCTGAAACAGACATTATTTTGTTAATTAAAGCAATGTAATTATCAATGAGAACGGAATCGATATCCGTTAACATCACCACTGCAATCTGAGATTTCCGTTAAGGACTTGAGCCATAAGCTAATATAAAACACGCATCCGGAGAAAACGGGAGGTTAGAAAGTCTGCATGTTAACTATACACATGACCTAGCCTTATCGAATAACAATAAATAACAGGCAGAAAAACGGCCAACACTGCGGGAAGCATTTTCCTTCAAAGTAGCTGCTACAACAAAAGCTAACAGCAGTCTTGACGCTAGCTTGCAAGAAACGTTTCTGTCTCTCCTCTTCGTTTCGCTCCCCACGCTAATATAACAATACATGTAATGTTACATTTTGTGTTCATTTAATGGGTGAACGCGCTAGGGTGAATTAACGCTTACTCACAGAATTATGTACACGCGGATAGTCTTTGACTCGGGGTGGTGTCTGAAGCAGATCCCTCGGAGCAGTGCCTTCCTCGGTACCGAGCTAGCCACAAGTTGCTAACAGAGGGCGTGGCCTAGGTAAAAGTAAACAATGGTGACGTCAGGTTCACACGCGGACTGTTTGAGAGCGGCTTAAATTTTGACGCATTTTATCAGGAAACAAAATCATAGTTTCTTGTCCATAGAAGAAATAGTCTCCATTCTGAAGTACAGGTCCACGGCCTATTTATACAAATGTGAATATTTAAAATAAAATAACAAAAAATAAATAACCCACTCTTCGAATATTATCCAAAAAAAAAGAAGAAAGCTTATCAACGTTTGCTTGTATGCACTCATTTTATAAAGTCTGCATAGGTGGCTTCAAGTGTCAATCAACAGAAAAAACTTCTACTGTATCAGAATTTAAAGGATATTTAAAAATAAATAAATAAATATAGTTTTAAACTGGATTAGTAATAATCATATTGTTTTCGTAGTATATGTGACAGGATGTGTTCATTTATGTAGTTTTTAACCATTAGCATGCACTGAGGTTACTCAGTCTAGTGCAAAAGGGCGCTATTTCCACTTTCTCTGTTGAAGGTAGGTTCGCCATATATTATTTTAGTACGTTCTAAACGTCGATTAATACAAAATTCTGGCTCAGTACTTTTGGCAGGGCTGTTAATATGGACCTTACGGGTGATAAAACTCCGCAAGGCTTAATGATAATCGCAACAAAAACGCCAAATCTTCAGCAAAGACAACTAGAGTTAAGAGATGAAAATGGACCCTTCTATTTGCATACCCGTGCTTCTATGTGACCGCAAGAGGGAGATATTTTACCTGTGGATGGCATGAAATCAAAACCATAAATACATTTGATTTTTGTTTCTTAAGAAACCGACAGCCACGTTACAAATTAAAAAATAAAAATAAAAAACGAAGTAGTTTATCATCCCCCCCCCCCATTCGCTGTACCGTAGGGTGTAGGATTAAGATAAGATAACCTTTATTAGTCCCACACGTGGGAAATTTGTTTTGTCACAGCAGGAAGTGGACAGTGCTCTGCATATATTACAGTACCTTAAATGCTCAGGCAGTGATCTTTGGCAAGAAGAAGGGAAGACACTTCTAAAACATGACCTTTTCTGGGACTCCTTTCGACAGTGTTTTTCTATTATGATAGCACCTAAAATTTCAGTATATTCTTTCATATTCAGTTTAATTAAACTATAGCAGAAAAGTATCAATAAAAAGAAAGAAAAACATGAAAGTTTGAACATTTTTATTTCTTTTAAACATCATCATACAAATCATACAAACAGAAGACTTTAACAATGTAAACTGCTGATGAACACAAGGCACCTTCCAAGATCAACAATCAGTTACAAGGTCTGAGATCTGCAATGACTAGTCAGCTGTACATGTGCAAGGAAATGCTATTGTTATTCTCTTATCCTAAAGTATGTGCTCTTAACGTTACTATAAAAACGGAACGTTACGGGTTAAAGAAAGCAATTTTGGCAAGTGCTATATTCATCTAGCAGAGTACTGAAGCTGAGCCACATTACAAATACGTCAACATTTGATTGATAAATGACAGCAGCAGTCTTTCTGTTGGTGTCAATGGTAATTTTGTGGAAATCAAGTCAATTGTATGAGTATTGCAGTATCAGTTAAAAAAAAAAGAAAAAAAAAAGCTCTGTTGAAAAGGCGCCTTTTGTGAGACATTTTAACATGAATTTTGACAATGCTTAAACATGGCTGATTTTAAATTGCACATAGGTTTACTCATATGACACCACAGAGGCAACGAATTTTCGAGAAACTAAAACCACCTTAGTACAACAGAAATAAACTATCACTAATGAACTTTTTTCCTGTAGTTTTGGCATTGCTGCTACAATAACATCTCTTCTTAAAAATATTTAAATTGGCTCCAAACAGCAACAGCTTCTTTGTGCCCTCGTGATAGCTTTCTCTGTGTTGTGTATTTATTGGTCATATTTTTCTGGGGGCAGTTTTCTGTACTTCAGACTTAAGAGAATACATAAAAACATTGCACTTGATTAGATAGGTGACACAAAACCAAATTGTATTTGGTCTCAGTTACCACAACTCCATATGCTGTTAACTCCAGAGGGATTATGAGACGTCTTATATACACAGTACAAAGTGCTTGATATGGAGCAGAGGCTTAAATAAAAATGACAACCACAACACGGCAAATTCCCTACAGAATAGAAATTATTGCATATATTTCTCAGCATCTACTCAAGGTGTCTTGTGCACCAAGGTCACTTTATTGTAACACTAACATATTCTTTTCCCCATTCTTCTTATTCTACACAAGAAAAAAAAAAGTGCAATTTATATTCACATAGTCGCCTTACAGAATACTAATTATTCATCTTGTCCTGAACAGACAACAGTATTTTCTTACTGTAATTTACAAAAAGATAAAATTGTTGGCTAGAAAAGCTGTGTAATGTGTTGTTAATATAAAGGTTTGCTTGTGATACTTTCTTTGCTCAAATTTGCCCCAAAATTAGATGTAGTTCAAAGATCTAGCTTTTTATGTTCTTGGTAAACTACACAAAGTAAGCTAGAATACATCTACACAAATGACTGTTTTGGTTACAATTCTGTAAAATTGTGCAGTATTAAAATAAAAAAATAAATAAAATAAAAAAATACTTAAAACATACAAATACTCCTGTAGACATATTTAAACTAAAATGGCTTTACTTTAGACTAAAACAATGATATTTTTTTATCATGTATGACAATAATACTTAAAAGATGTGAAATTTCCTTGACTTTGAGGCTTTATACGTGAACTACATTGAGGTAATTAAAATGATACATGAAGCAAATCGAATGCTCCAAAATTTACCCCAGTATTATCACAACCCCTCCCCCCCCCCAAAAGAAAATTAAAACACGTTCATGAGCAAAACAAAACAAAACAAACCCACACAAAAAAAGGTTCTTGAGAGTTGCTAATGTCTTGATCTACCTCCTTCGAAAGCATGGTGCTCCTCATGGGCTGAAATATAACAGAAGATCTTATCACATCTCATGATTTCAGTCATTAAAAATGATAATACCGCACCCAAAGAAAAGAAGAAAATACTCACGTTTATAAAACACCGCTTTAAAAGGTACTTGTGGAAGGAGCTCGTTGATCCTTCCTATGATGTTTGACTCGCTAACACAAGAAGCATTTCCATTCCAGACCTGAACGACATCTTCTCTGTCTCTTATACTAACGCTGACTCCAACTACTTCATCCTCTGTAAAAAAAAA